ACCCGGACGATCACACTATACGAACTTCTGTTTTCTTTGTTGTCAGTTTTCAGTCAGTTCTCATCACAATAGGTGATTTGCGTCATTTGACTACAACTACCAAAATCCTTTACTTTCTCTGTTTCTTATGCTAATTAGGGTAATTGTTATTTAAACCCCACTGGATCTTTAAAATTTAAACAATAAAGAGAAAACGAAAGGAATTCTTGTAGTTGAAGTCAAATGACGACAACGTGAAAATCCGGTATTTCTGATATCTTGGATCCGGAAGGTCATTATCACATCCAGACATACTCGGCTATCTTCTTCTCAAACACCTTTCCCATTTAGCATACTAATTTTTCTTTGCATTTTTAATTTTGGCTTCGACACGCAGCTTTGTTTTTAAATTAATTCATCGGTGAATATGTTAAAAGTCCAAAACTTGTCTCAAGTTTTAATGACTGTTTTGCGTTATATAATTAGCAATTTGTTACTTGGCTCAACATATTGAGGCAGTCTGGCCGAGTGGCTAGGGCGCCAGAAATCTACTTAGTTGGAGCTGCTACTCGGTAAACTCTGGTTCAACTCCTCGGTCATGCTGGTTTGCCTCCCACCAGCTGGGGTTTTTAAGTGCAGTTGATATATTTGTTTCCTTCAGTTTAAGTGACATGCCTGTGAACTATCTAGGTGTAGCTAAGCGCATTGACCACTATAAACAACGACATTTTTTGAACATTTCTTTTAAACACGATTCTCCAGACAAAGACACCAAATCAATATTCACACATGCGTGGAAGAGAGCGAGAAATAAAGCAAATTTTAGCATAGAAATTATAATTTTCCTCATAAAAGAAGATCATTCACGATCAACCGGGTCCTAATTATTCCACTATTTAACAACAATGTGGATGGGTCAGTGGCATTGGAAAACACACAGAGATTAGAATGATTAGAATATTCACTAACATATAGATTGGCTTCAGGCAATAACGTTAGTTGTATTCAAATACCAGCTCCTAAATTGAGGATGAGTCACGAACTCGTGCGATCGCATGCGTCATCATGGCCTCCAAGGGTTACGACGCAAACCATGTAAATATGACTTCCGTTAAATAGATTGCACCGAGCAGACGTATTGCTAGTTTGCATAGAGCCTGTAATAGCAGAATTTTGGAGTGTAAATTATCTCCATGGTTACCTAAAGAGACTTTGTCCCCAGGAAGACAGTTTGACATTTTTGTTTTTTTCTTACCTTTCCGTTATTTTTTTCTTCCATTTCGAAACAATCTATTTTGCGATAAGTATAACTATATGT